TAATGAGGGGCAAATTGCTCACCACAGCTATGCAGACGAGACACAGCTCTACTTAGCCCTATCGCCTAACGACTACAGCCCCATTGACTCCCTGTGCCAATGCATTGAAGTGAACAGCTGGATGTCCAAAACTTTCTTCAGTTAAACAGACAAAACTGACGTCATTGCGTTTGGAAACAAAGTTAAGTTCTCTTGTAGATCTTTTTTTGTTCCACAGTAGATTTTTTTATTGTATAACAGGTAATCTCAATGTAGTGTGAGATTAGTTTATGTATGTTTTATCTTTTTATTTTTTATGTAAAGCACTTTGAGAAACCTTGTTAGCAGTGCGAAACATAGAAAATTATACAGGTTTGGAATGACATGGCTGATTAAATAATGACCGAATATTCATTAAAAATGTACAGGCCTGTGTTTGTGATTTATGTTGATTAAAAATTAAGTTTTGACTGGTTTCGTGTTTTCGTCTCTGACTGGAATCGCTGCTGTTGGCTGTTTCGGTCACACTGCGGCTGCTCTGAACATGTTTTCACCACAGACACGATTAATGTGTTCTTATAAAAGCATTTGCGGGTTTTAGATGAATTCATCTTTACCATAAGAGTTCACAATGACTATCCCTTGGGTGTGTTTTCAATTAAATTCAGCCAACCAAACAAAACATGTTTACTAAAATGATCAAATCAACGTCTTTGATAACCACACGATCTCTTCAGTGGAGGCCGACTTCCGTCTAAAACCTTGCAAACAAAATGTGAAATTACAGAGAAAAGGAGCATAAACACATCAAAGTTTTGACACCAAACATAAATTTGTCCATGTGTGAAAAACTAAATCTCATATAAATGTGCTCAGTTCTGTTCAACTTTCAGTGCAAGACTGTCATACTTCAAATATTCTTGCGTTTTTCCGAGGAGCTTGAACAAGGTAAAATTTTACCAATTTATACTTTTGTACAAAAGTACGTTGAATTCTTACATATTGGATGATTTTTTAAATCATGTGTTCCTATTGTAATGTTACAGTAATCTTATTGTCCATACACATTGTTTAATAAATTTTCTTTCTCTAACAGAGAGAGAGACGTTTAATAAGAGATGGATGGTTTGGGACCAGCACTGTTTGGATTATTTTTAGTGTCTTTTACAGTTTCTAAACCGGTAAGGACACTTCATATTTTAATTTCACAACCAGATTGACTTATGCAGTCTCATAATAAGCGTGTTTACTTTGTGGAACTAGGTCATTACAGTATTTGTGTCCTTACTTTTTTCCATTAAATTAAAAAAAAACGTTCTTATTCCCAGTATCATTGGTCCATGACAATTTGTATGGAGTTTACTTGCACATTTATCATTGTTACACATTTGTGAAATGGATCGCCAATCCTTTACCTCTGCAAACATGTTTAAAGCTTGTCTTAAAGAAGCTTTCACTACTTTTTAATTAAGTTAGAACCAATCCATTTAGGGTTTTATTTTTATTTTATTTTTAAAATCGATTTTCTTTTATTTCCCTTTTCTATGATATTGTATCTTTGTGTAACTAAAGCACTCTGTATAGTGCTTTACAAATAAATCGTGATTTTATTTAAAGAACCTTGGTTTCATAGACAAGGCTTAAGCTATAGTCCCAGACTAAAATGCATGTCTGTTTTAACTGAAAGCTACTTCCATTGACGCATCTTAAAATGTCAGTGCCATTGTTTTATCTCAAGATGCACACCAGTAATGTTTTTTTTTTTCTAAGGCACGTTTATAAAAGCTACTTAAATGCCCTAATTGAACTAAGGCCTAATCCTTGCTTAATCTAAGCCCTGTCTGTGAAACCGGACCTTGATCTGATGATTATCTATGTACAATCCTCTGACCGGTTAGTCTGTATCATCAGCTGACATTATCCAGTTCTGAATCCTCTGAATCAAATGAGTCGAGCTCTTCGGAGGAGGTCATGGTACGGAGAACCACAATAGAACCCACTGGGCTGAACACCATGAGACCGGACATCCTGGAGGACAACCAGCACCAAACCAGTAACCATACTCCACATCCGGGCCTTGCGCTGACTATACCTAACCCTGCCAACACGGGACAGAAGGTTGTGGAATTGGGCCTAGATACAAGCCTCGGTCCTCTTCAGCCGGCTGAGCCAGATCTCGTGTCTCCAGACCTCACCACCCCAGAACTACGATGCTACACGGTAGAGCTCACCAGTCCTGAGCCCAAACCTGCCAGAGGAGATAACGTTTAATTAGCCAGCATGCTTATATTTTACTTGACTTGTCTATTCTTAAGAAATGTGATGGTGTTTGTAGCAGGCTTACCTTAGTTATTAGTAAGAGGTTGACCAACCTTTTATCCTTTTTCTCTGTTCTTCTGTAGCAGTTGAACTAGGCTATCACACTACAACTTTCATGTGTTGCATTTGTTAAAATGGTGTATCATTTACATTTTTAAATATTATTATGATTAGTTGAAACAGTATTTAAGAAATATGAAATGGTTATATAAAGCAAAAGAGGCATCCTGATTCCTGACGCTTATAAGGGACAAGAGGTTTTTCAGAAACTTTGCAAATTCAAAAAGTAATAAAAACGTGCAAAATATTATAGTAAAATCACTTCATTTGAACTAATAAAGCATTGGGTTATAGAATGATGACATTTGTGAGCTTTTTTTCCACATTTAAAACACGCAACAATTTGGCAATGACTCATAATTGGTTCAATGCAAATTAAGATAATTGCACAAAAATAAATCTTACTTCCTAATTTTTCATCTGGAAGATTTAAAAGCATAAATACAGGTCATATTTTTGATAAAGCACTTTAGTCTCCCATATAGACGAGGCTTAAGCTAGTCTCAGACTAGATGCATGTTTGAGCTGTTTTAACTGAATGTAACGACATATCTTAAAATAGGCTACAGTAGTCAACATTTGAAGTGGATCAAAACCTTTCATCAAAGTTATACATGAATTGTATAATTGTGAACAATACCCGTTCTTGTCTTAGGACAACTTTGATGAATTTTTTCGATTCAATGCCCACGTTAAATGTTGACTAATCAGTGCCATTGATTTGTCTCAAGTAGTAAAGCACACCAGTAGTATGTTTTTTTCCTAAAGCACGTTTATAAAGGTTAGTTGGTGAATCACATGGTAACACATGTAGGCCTATAATGTCTAAACATTAGGCTACTAAATAATTAATAAAGATAAAAAATAAAAATAAATTGGACCAAGTATACACCCCTATACAGGATATGGTGGTGAAAAAAATGATAAGGCCCAGTAGTAACTTGTTATAATTTCTATTCTTTCTATTCTAATCTTCTCATGACTTGCCAAATTTTTTTCCTTCTTATTCTTGTGTGTCGGAAATTAGCTTCCCGTCTTCTTCTCGAAACAAGTGTCTGCTGTTAACGTTTCTCACGCAGCTCATAACAACTTCTGCTAGCTCATACTGAGAATAACTGCTCATTCGCTGTATAAGAGCTAAACAGTTTTAAGTATAAATCCATTCCTATATTCAGAAATGGGCATAAATGCATGAAAATGTATTTAAATAAAAATGCAAAAAACCTCAGTTTAAATGTATCAAAGTAAAATACCAAATATCAATATCAATTTTTAAATTGAAATACAAAAACAGTATTTTGTATTTGGAAAATAAATACACAACATACACGTGAAATTGGCCATTCAGTGAAGTATCACAATCAAGGACCTATTCTGAATGCAAATTACACTTTGGTGTTCACAACTGCTTAGAAACTGTTGTTTTTATTTCACTTACCTCTTCCCCTGCCCAGTAGGAAACTATTTTTTTCACCATCATTACTTCTCTAACAATTACATATTGACTCAATACTGTTTAGCATCAGCAACTTTTCAAAAAGACTGGCTTTAAGGTGTCGTCTGTGTGCAAGATGCCAAACAGAAGCCATTTCTATACTTATTTCTGACCAGGTTACACTGCAGCCTTTTACTGAACACTATAAATCACATGTAAAACTGTGGGAACAATATGATACTCTCTGCTTTTCTAAAAACCCAAAGTAAAACCCTGAGGTATCCCATGAATCATCATCACTCAATTGAGATTTAATATGGTAGCACTATTTTACTGTTTTCTTACTTGGATTATTCATGATAGATTGTTTTATTCTCATCCAAATTGCTTCAAACACAAATGTGAATAACAGCACTCTGAAATCAGTCGTTCAAATGATGTCATGATGATGTCAAGTCGGTGAGCTCACCATTCACTGCTGCCAGCAAAACAACACGTGACGGTCACAAATAACCCACCGCCGCAGGAACAGGAGACACTGCAGAAGTTATTAGACACATCATAACAGGATGGTGCAACCTGACTGAAAGCTGGTTTGAACCCTGCAATTCATGAAGTTTGGCCACCATTGTTTCTGAGAGCAAGTAACTAAGGTGGAATAAAAGTACACTTTGGATAAAACTAGTCATTTCATTCTCAAAAATGCCCGAGTCTATACTACAAATATCAACAATATCTGGAGTCACACTCAAAACAAATAAAACAAACTTCTGGAAAAAATCCCAAGGACAAGATTCTTTCTAGAAGGAAAACTTTAGGAAAATAAGATTGCTTCAGTTTTTTTTATTAAATGAAAAAAAGATATATTACGCAATGTGATCATTTTATTTTATTTGTGTAACACAAAGCTTGTTTCTTGCCCAGCATTAACCAATAAATAAGCATTAAATAAGTTTAAAATTAACAAAGTTCGGGCATGATCTCCACTGTCCCCACGTTACTTTTAAACAGTCTTAAAAAATATATTCTTGATGGATAATGAGGATTTAGTAATCAAATCAGATTTTAGCAAAAGTTTATCCTCATTGCACTGGATTATCTTTAACATTTGTTATGACACACAATGCATGTGGAAAATTCAAGAAATATGTATGTTGCAAATCTTACGGATGGTTTCCATCACAGAAAAGTAAAGGCGGCTCAAAAAAAAAGTTCTCATCCAGTTTAATCCAGCAAAAAAAAAAAAGGATAAGAAAAAAGAGCAGTTGTACAGACATGGAAGCAGTGAGAGAGAAGAGTTTGTATTTCTAAATTATACAGTCAGTTCTGTAAAAGCTTAACTGGGAGATGAACATCAGTCGTGGTTCTGCGTTTCGGTCTCTTCTTCTAGCGGCTGCTGTGCAGGCGGTCGTGGGTCGACGGCGGGGGGTGCGATCAGACCCCCGTCCTGTGCCGTGTTGTAGGAGCCACAGGTGCTGCACTTCATGCCCAACACGTGGAAGGACACAGTGCAGTGAGCCTGGCAGTCATTGCATATGATCTGTGAACAAACACAAAGGCAAGTTGACTTATTGGGGAAAATCTCACAAAAATAGGTCACATTTCACAGTAAAAATCAAGGAAAAAATAACTTGTGGCGCTCTAGCGGTTAATAAACAAAACTGCATGAGTCTTGCATTGTAGCCGGAGCTACTTCTCTCCGTTTAAGTAGATGCCGAGTCACACAGGAACTGGGACACTCCGCAGCGGTTGTCGTCCCGCCCGGTCTAAAATAGTCCGAATATAAACACTTATTAGGATAAGACAAAAACACGGTTTGGATGATGTACTCGCTCATTATATACGTTTTAATTTTTGGAAAAAAAAAAGTTACTTAGTGTACCTTAAAATAAACAAATCGCTAAATCGTTATTTTAGTTATTTAGTAAAAAGTACTATAATTATACTGATTTAATAAAAAAAAATTAAAGGCAAATTCTACGATGAGGTAAAAATAACAAAATTATTTCTTTTTTGGCATTACATCAATGAGAATGCAATTTTTTTTTCAGAAATGAGAACTGGGAAATAAGAGAAAATTGTTATGAAAACAGTAAAAATCATAATGGTCCTACAAGGTGCAATTTTATTATGCAATACAATATAAATATTTATAAATATACCCAATTTAAGTAAAATCACACAAGATTTTCTCCAGTAACTAAAACTAGAACTTTTAAAAAATAATTTTCGTTCATTGAAATACAGCTGGAAAAATATATAATAATAATAATAAATAAATAAAGATTTAAAACATTTCATATAAGATGAAAAACTCAAATGAAAATTAGAAATGTTGCCCTGGAAACAAATTAAGTTTAAGTTGGAGTACTAAAATGACTAAAACTAAACTGAAAATAAATTGAATAAAAAAACGAATAAAAGCACTACAACTAAAATGAAAACAAAAAGCAAATAATATTAATAAAAACTATATATATATTTTTTTACTGAATTAAAGAACTAAATTAATTAAATTATTATATTGAGGTTCACATTGAAATTTCTCCACATCTGAGCTGAACTGTCATCATTTTACAACTGCAAGATATGAGCACATCTTACAGACTCATTAACCAATAATCACTTCTGCGTGTGTTTGCATTGCTCCTCATTTGCATGTCCATTTGGATAAAGTGTCTGCTCAGTGAATGCATGCAAATGAAGGCTCTGTTACCTTTACTGTAGTGTCCTGGTACTCAGTGGGCATGGGAGAATGGGCAATTTCCTTATCTCTCTGTTCCCAGAACTGCTTCATGTTAAAGGCAGAGTGCATACACAGGGGACAGCGGTAAGCCCTGCGGGACAGACCGCCAGATGTAAGCACATCTCTCCACTGTTGAACACTATCCTACACAAGCCTATGACTGGTTTATGGAGTGCAATGAGGATCAAAACATGTTAACAGCTCAGAGGCTGATATTGTATATGGCTGTGACACTTAAGTTAGAGAAATGTCACTATGAATATATGCAGAATTAGCAATGAGCCATAAGAAGACATTAATACAAAGTCAGAAAACAACAACATTCCTTACCCAGTTCTGCACATGTCATCAAAGCATGTTCTGCAAGCAAAAAAAGAGTGTTTTTACATCAAATCACATTCATTTGATAGGGCACCAGATGATACACACAGTGACTTTAAATATTTTATAGAAATCATTCATTTTTTCTAATATACTGTATAGTGGCCATCACTTGTGTTCAAACCTTTAACTGTTAAAAGTCTAAATTCAATCATGTAAAGCGATCAAGTCTCTTCAGAAATTTTTTACACGATCTCTTTATGAACTTTTTGAATTGTCAAAGTGTCAGTTGTGTATAGCAATGGAGGGACAGAAAGCTCTCAGATTTCATCAAAAAGATCTTTATTTGTGTTCTGAAGATGAACGAAAGTCTTACGGGTTTGGAACGACATGAGGATGAGTAAATAATGACAGAATTTAAATTTTTGAGTGAACTATCCCTTTAAGTTAGCCTGGATCAGTGGCGGCTCCAGACAATTTTGATTGGGGGGGCAATGGGGGGTCCTGGTCATTTCAAGGAGGGTCTCATGAAAACCAACAAAAAATACAGTGGACACGGCTAATAACTGCATATTGCTGCTACTTAACAAATGGTAAATGGACTGCATTTATATAGCGCTTTCACAGACCCAATGGCCACCAAAGCGCTTTACATATTGCCTCACATTCACCAATTCACACACCGACGGTTTTTTGTTTTTAATTAATTAATCAATTGCAGTTTGCAAACAATATGCTCGAACTTTAATTGCCATAGCCACACCCATGACAAAAAACATATTTACAAAATAGTATCCTCCTCATCCTCCAATTCCTCGGTGTCCTCTGTTTCCAGTCTATACTAAGAAATCCTATGAAAAATTATTTACAAAATCTTCTGCAGTTCAGTTCAATTCTTTACAATAATATAATATATTATGAAAGAAAATTAAGCTGTTACACTGAGATGGTTTAGGAAAACCATAAAGTGTTTTTGTACAGTCAATTAATTGTACAGGCAGCATTAAACCATCAAAGTTAAATGATTGTTTATAGCTTATGAATTTCGTAGCCTAAATTTTCTTTAGCAGGGGGTTTCAAACTTTTTAATGGCAAGGAGCCCTAAACAATACCCTTGTGAGATTCTTTATTTAGGCTTATAATATAATAAAATATATGCCCAATATAATATAATATAAAAAAATGAATTGAAGTATTTGAAGTGATAGTTTAAATGCTTCAATTTGTTTTCATATTATATTATTATAATATGAAAACAAACTGAAGCATTTACTGTAAATAGCTAGATCTAATAGCTAAATATTTTCAAGAAAAGTCAATATGTGAACTCTTTTATAGTAGCCTAATCTAACCATGCCTGAAACTATTTAAATCTATGTAAACGAATGATATATTTTGAGTTTGCACGCGGGTGGGTGTGTAATTGTTACCGTTCTGTGTCCATCATCCGTTATTTCCACCACTTTAATCAAACCACTCTTCTTTAAAACATGATATTGTGATTTTATTTCACATGTCTTTGCGTTTCTCGTCGCCTCTCGTATTGAGATATTTGGTCCGCACACACGACTCACTGCCAATCACACGCGCTCACATCATTCTCTTTCTTTGAAACATGTTAACTGCACTCACCAGTTTGAGCACTGCAATTATTTCTCACATACAATCAAATGGATTTCCCCACACATTTCGCGTCAGTCCTCCGCGTGGCATATTATTCTTTTCTGCGCGCCCGCGGCATCAGAAGTGCACGACCGCGCACGCGCGCAGCTTAGAGGGAACGTGATTCTTATGTTTATATATTTTGTATGTCGAATAAATTATTAATTATTATTGTTCTGCGTAGTTTGAAGATAAACATTTTTAAATATTTATCCCGGATATATATATTTTTTAATCAGGAAGGGGGTGGGGGGTCAAAGCATTTTTTGGGAGGGTCTTGAGACCCCCCAAGACCCCCCCTGGCGCCGCCTCTGGCCTGGATGCCAGCTGAACTTAGCCCCGCCCACAACATTTGAGGATGGGAAGTTCGGTCTAGACTTGATCCGTTAAAAAGCAAGTATGCCACGCATACACACACACACACACACACACACACAACAAGATGAGAAAGGAGACAGCGAATTCATAAACCGTGACATTATTGTCTCTCTCACTGTCAAAAGAAGATCTAAATAAGATATTTTTAGTTGTTATTATCTTGTTCTGAGTTATGCTGAATGGATATGGAATAGGTAGCCTATCTGTTGTGAAATTGAATATGTGATAATTACGGGCTAGCCTACTAATGATATTATTATTTATAAATGTAGAATTAAACTTGTTTAAATGTACAGTTTGGTGTTTTGTTTTAAAAAGATATCCTTATACAATAAATGCATTAATCTCTCAATTGGGTATTTATCATTAAAGATATAGGGAGTTTGCAATCTAACGGTCAAAATGAGCGCTTGTGGCAGTTCTAGTAGTTATGGAATTCTGGCACTTCTAGTGTTAATTCAGCTAAATGCTCACGCTGTGGCGTTACAATCTTCTTTTGGTCACGTGATACAAATTCGCAGGTCAGAGTTCACCAAACTTGAACTTTGGAACGCTTTGAAATGTGAAGCTTCTTCGCCTGAGCTTGCGTTTCCAGTCTCCTGCATTTGCATGCATATGAATGGAAGTCAATGGAAGGAAAGAGTGTAGTGTGACCGCCTCTTAACACAACAGATGACCAAACACTCACTTGTGTAGCAGATGGCCGCACGAGAGCACATGAGCCCCTATTCTGGACGTGTGGATGTCCTCCATACACACAGGGCAGTTCTGCCTAGACACGTTCTCAACACACTGAAACCACAAGCACTGCTTAATATTTCACTAATGACAACAAAATGATCAAGTAACGTACAAGAATCACTTTTCATACCTTGTGATTATCTTTTAGATCAGTGGCTAAACATAAATTGCACTTCGTACAATGGAAGTATTTCTCACTCGGGCCAATTCTAAAAGTAACAGAGGAGAAAAAAGGAGGTCAATGAGAATCTTATTAAAAGAATTACAAATGTATTGCTTCGGTTGATTAATGAAGGCACCTCTCATTTGTTTTGCATGAAAGCGTGTGCTAAATTAATTCATGTAAATGCCATGCAAACCTGCATATCCCGCAGGGCTGGCAGTGGTACTGCTTCTTGTCTTTGTCAAACAGATGGCAGATGTCACAGTAATACTCCCCGAACTTCACTTCACATTCTTTACATGTCTGTTGAGCCTGATGAACACAGAATGAGCAACAGTTTTAATAACATCAAAGCTGAAAAGCAATAAAAGAAAGAAATCATATTTTGCATTAAGAAAAGGCCTTTTTAGAGGACCATTAGAATTTGTTGCATTTTGACATTTAATGATGTATACAACAAATAGAATCATGATGTGTAATTACTTCTTTTGCATCACAGTAAGATTTTGTTAGATGACTAGAATTGTGAAATATATACACTGCCGCTCAAAAGTCTCTTATGCTCATCAAAGCTGTAAATACAGTAAAACTGTAATATTGTGAAATATCATTACAATTTAAAGTAACTTTTCTATTTTGAATATGTAATTTATTCTTGCGGTGCAAAGCTGTATTTTCAACATCATTACTCCAGTCTTCAGTCACATGATCCTTCAGAAATCAGTCTAATATGCATAATATTATTATCAATGTTGAAAACAGTTGTCCAATTTTTTTTCCAGTATTCTTTGATCAATAGAAAGTTAAAACGATCAGCATTTATTTTAAATCGAATTTGTGACATTATAAATGCTGTTACTGCCACTTATGATCAATTTACACCATCCTTGCAGAATAAATGTATTAATATCTTTAAAAAAAAACTTTACAAAAGCTTTCTTTTTCAGATAAATGCTATTCTTTTGAACTTTCTATTCATCAAAGAATCCTAAAGAAAATAAACTGTTTTCAACATTGATAATATTAAGGAATGTTTCTTGAGCAGCAAATCATCATACTAGAATGATTTCTGAAGGATCATGTGACACTGAAGACTGGAGTAATGATGCTGAAAATTCAGCTTTGTACATGGGAATAAATTACATTTTAAAATATATTGAAATAGAAAACAGTTATTTTAAACTGTAATATTTCAGAATTTACTGGGGTTTTTTTAACCAAATAAATGCAGCCTTGGTGAGCATGAGACTTCTTTTAAAAACATTACAAACTCTTACTGATCAAAGCTTTTGAACGGCAGTGTGTGTATATAATTATAATTATATACATATATATATATAATTATATATTCTTTCTTTTGCGTTTGTGGTTTAATGTTACCCACAATAAATAATACCCAAACATCTTGGCAGATTTTGTGAGATTCACCCAAGCCAATTTTATGATGTGTTTAGAGCCTAGTTTAAATATGACTTTACCTCTTGAATAGTATTGCACGATGAGCATTTGACTTCTCGGACCTTAAATCGGTCCATTTGATGGTTCTCTTCACCATCATGACAGAGTCTGCAAACATAAAACTTCCCACAGCAGGGTGCCTGCAGGGACACACCACAAATATATAATAAGCCATCACCATCAATGCACATATACAGTCCGCATATCTTATAGCAAACACATCAAACACTCACAGGATCAGAATATGTTGTAAGTGCAAATGCAGGTCCATAACAAAAACCCTAAACCAATACTTCTTAGACCATACCGAGCAAAGCAACAGTCTAAACTAACATATCTTATTTGTTGCCTTTAAACCATCAATAATTAGATTTTACTTCATAGAATAATTTTGTATTACATCTTAAAAATAGTCAATGGGTGTTCAGTGATGTAAGTTATATCCCATACAGTTAGCAATATGCTAATAAGACTTGTTTCAACCTCACGCTACCGTGCGACTAAGGAAAGTATTTACCAAAACAATCATGCTAACTTATTGACATTGGCAAGCATATATGAAATACAGCGTATACATGTAATGAAATGTCGCTCACTTTTAACAAACAGCTGCGAACATAGTGCTCACATCCGACTTCAGTGGCGGCCATGTTTCATTCAAATGCGAGAAAACTTTATTTAAGCGTCGGTTATGTATCACGTGTTTATGCCGCTTTCGCATTATAATGTTCCCTCGTTAAAAATAAAAAGACAAAAAGAAATAAAAGATTAGCTTAGCCTTTTATCCAAACTTTTTAAATTATTTTCTGTCCGATAAATGTAGTGTTATTGAAGCTTTATTTTTACATGACACGGGACAAGCTTTGAAACAGTCGACATTTTTTAAGATTACCATTTAGTATGTAAAGTGAAATAGTCTTATAATGAAATTTAATTATGTAGAATTACTTCATATTTCATGTCCAATTTATAATCAATAGGAAAGTTATCACAATGCTTATATCTCAGGGTTTTGAGTCAAACATCCAGCTTAACAAATTTTTAATTACTTAAACGTTTGGTTCTAATTTACTGTCTTATTTTTGTAACAGCATTTTGAAACAAAGTAATACGCTATTGAATTTAATAACATTCTGTCCTGTAGCCTGTTCTTATAATATTAGATTTGCATTATTAATAATGTCCCTTTGTTTTTATATAAAATCACCATGCAAATAACATTTGGTGGACAAATCCTTTATTAAAGCTGCAAATAAAAATCAGACCATTTGTGTGGGTTTGTCACAAACAGTGACAGACGGTGGCAGCATCTGCCCCTCCAAGATTAAAAACTTGCCCAATGTCTTTCCTAAAATGATTGCTTAATCTGATCTACTGTGGGTTTAAGCCCTTAAGAGTCTATAAACCATTGAACATATAAGTATATTCATGTTATATCTGAATATATGATTTATTAAGCTCTACTTTTGGACTTTGTAAAATGTTGTAAAACTTGCTAACATGCTCAGTTTAATTTTTTCCTCTCTCTCTCAGATGCCCTTGAGATCTGGAGGGATGTGGATGTGTTTGAAGGCAGTATTATTTGTTATACAGGATTGATTCTTTGTTACATCCTGATAGACTTTTATATGGGAAAATCAGTTAAGATATAAAATAAAGAGATATAATAAGAATAAAATCAAATCGAACAAAATACAATAGAATACAAATTATTTCTACAGAAGAGAATATCTTAGATGTGGATGATGGCAAATATCTTAACACAAGTTACTGAATAAATACAAATTCATTCTTTTATATGAAGAGTTCAAATGCTAAAGCCTCTAAGTGCCATCTGAAATTTTCTTCTAGAATGATAATTTTGACCAAGCTCGTATATTTAAGTTCAGTAATTTCACTTAAATGGCAATGAAAATTACCTATTAATTGTCACTTAAGTGAAATTACTAAACTTAAATATACGAGATTGATAAAAATGATCATTCTAGAAGAGAATTTCAGATGGCACTTATAGGCTTTTGCATCTGAACTCTTCATATATTTCCTTTTATTATTCTAAGAACAATATAGCAATTAGGAAAAAGTCATAAACATCATGGGGTTATACAAAACTCATGCAAAGAATATCTTCACAACCCTAAAAGTTAATAGGAATAATTACAGTAACTGAACTTAACAATACTCTCTTATTCGTAATTATTTTACATTTTGACAAATTGGTGGCTAATTTGTATGAATTTGTACAATCTCACTCATAGATCTCATGATGGTTAGGTTTAGGGTGGGGTTCTTTCTAAAAAATATTACTTTTCCATACGAATCACATTGGTATGTTTTCTCATTATATCATGTTGAAACCTAACGGCTAATCTCGAAGGTCTTAATGACCCGGTTACCTTAAGTGACTTTGCATTATCTGTCCTGCTCTTTCCAGTGTTTACAACTCTAGATTCATGTCCATTTGAATTTGTTTTGTTTTTGAAAGCAGATAAACCCTGCATACATTATTCAAAGAAATATTTATGTCATGATCACATTTTCAATCCTGCATTCCTCCTCACCAGTTTTATATAAAGTCATACTGTATATATCTTTGATTATTAAAAAGCTCAAAATAACATTATCTTTTAAAAAATAAACATTTTGTAACATTATAAATGTCTTTACTGTCACTTTTGATCTATTTAATGTGTCCTTGCTGAATAAAACTATTACTCTTTTTTTTTTAAATCAAATACCTCAAACTTTTGAATGGTGTATCATTTTCCACCACAAATATAAAGCAGCAAAAAAAAAAAATCAACATTGATAATAATAATAAATGTTTCTTGAGCAAAAAGCATATTAGAATGATTTCAGACGGATCATGTGACCGTTTCCTTCATTCATGAATTCCTTCATGTCCACTTACTTCTGTTTGGCTGCTTGTTTAAATGTTATACTATCATTATCCTCTAGTCTAGTAAACACCTGCTCTATCATGAACTAGATAAAGATGCCCATATTTTAGAAGCAGTTTATAAATAAGCCTTTGAATGTTGAAAGGGGTCTTGTTTGGGGAACTTGATATTCATTCATTGACATTCATTAGCAAGCGTGTCATTTCAAAGAATCCAAAGCAGACTTCACCCTCAAGCAAAGGCTTAACGGATAATGGCATTTAAGTTGAACTCTTAGCTCCTTATAGATGGCATTAGAGGACTGGTGCTTCCTCCTGCCTGTCTCTTTATACTTAAACAGAGTAGGTTTAGTGTCAGTAAAGCTCTGAGATTTACAGGCGCGCTGTACACTAGCTATCCTCCTCTAGGAGGATAGCGGAAGACTGAGAGGATGTTCAGTGATCAGAGAAACAGGAGACAGAGCCTCTTTCCCAACTGCAAACTAGCAACTTCTGAGTCAATAGACGACACCGTCCCATTCGCTAAAGAGTGTTTGGTGAAACAGTGGAGCTCCTTAAGCGAACTACAGGCGGATATCTATGACATCTTTGAGGATGTCGACGATGGGGAGGTTGAGAGGTATTCAGAGCCTTCGTTATGGTTTACCAGCATATCACCAAGCAGGAATTGCACGCTTAACCTCAACGTTGGAGGAAAGTCCTACCGTATCACCTACAAGATGGCAGCGAGATACCCACAGAGCAGAATTGGCCGACTGGCCACCTACACTGACCTCAACATGAAGCTGAACCTCTGCGATGACTACGTCGTGAAGGACAACGAATATTTCTTCGACCGAGATCCAGACGTCTTCAACAGCATCTTCAACTTCTACAGGACCGGTGTGCTGTGGATCAAGGAAGAGCTCTGTCCGAGGAACTTCTTGGAGGAGATCAATTACTGGGGCGTTCGGATCAAATACTCTCAACGGTGCTGTCGGATCCTGCTCGAGGAGAAACACGACGAGTTGTGCGAACAGCTCAAGGTTCAGAAGGAACTGGAGGCGGAGGTGGTAGTCGAAGAAAACGAGGAGGCGTTCGACAGCATGTTTCTCGGCGAGACGCGGCGGTCACTTTGGAACTTCATGGAGAATCCGTTCTCCTCGGTCCAGGCGAAACTCATGGCAGTCGCCTCGAGTATGTTTGTGCTGGTGTCGCTGGTCACGATGACTCTGTCTACGGTGGAAGAAATGGAGAACATGGCATCTACTAACCAGTTTAGTGGCAAGCCATACGGAGAGTTCGTAGAGACTCTGTGCATAACCTTCTTCACCACTGAGTACCTGTTGCGTCTGGTTTCAACCCCAGATATCTGTTGCTTTGTTAAGAGCATACTGAACGCAGTAGACCTCATGGCCATCCTACCGCAGTTGCTGCAGTTCGTGCTCGAGACCTTTGAGGACTTGGTTCCTGGGAAACAAAATGCGGACATGCAGACTGTAGGTCAAGTGAGCAAGGTTGGACAAGTGCTGCGAATCATGCGACTCATGCGTATTTTTCGGGTTCTGAAACTGGCCCGTCACTCCACGGGGCTGAGAGCGTTTGGCTTCACGTTGAGGCAGTGCTATCACCAGGTGGGGTGTCTCTTTCTCTTTATTGCCATGGGGATCTTCACATTCTCTGCCATGGTTTATAGCGTTGAATTTGACGCCCCTAATACCAACTTTACCAGCATTCCACATTCTTGGTGGTGGGCATCTGTAAGTAAACATTATTTCTATTTATCATGCATATATGATATAGATGATGTTACTCAGTACTCACCCTAATGTCTTTCGAAACCAGTATCACTTTCTTTTTTCTGTGGAAAACGCAAAAGGAGATCTTGATAATGTGCAACAGTCAAGTTCTAGAGGTAAAATCCCATTCATTTTACAGGGGAATTTGAAAGATAAACCTTTAAAGACAGACCTACAATGAGCTACGAGGTTATTAATCGATGGTATGTTACATTTTTAAATAATCATGTTTAACAGTGGAATTCCTGGTGAAAAGTGGCATTAACCATGATACAGCAGAGAAATCTCTACCAATCAGAGAATCGCAACATGCAAATCGTGCCAAAATAACTCTTTAGCTTTGTGATAGAGTCAGTCTCCTCACACTCTCAAACTACTTAAACATTTGCATGCATATTATTCCCACAGCCTTTGTCTTTTCGTCCAATTTTCAAATGTTGTGATTCCTCTTGTAGATGGCTGGTTTGGTGCATGGCTTATAACTATTATAACTTATAACTCTTAAACAAAGGTTTTTAAAAAAAAAAAATCCCTATAGGAGAAATACTTACAGAACCAAGGCCGCTCAAAAAAAGTGGACTGGCACTATTGCTCTCTATAGCACAAAATCCTCTGCTCTTTTCCGTACAATAAAAGTGAATGATGATTATGCTTGTCAAACATGATTTACAGAGAATTTTCAGTGAAATGGGATAAAATGATTATCCTGGGATACAATGATTGTCCCTATGGGACAATAAAGACTCTATCTAAATCTATTATACGTCTTCAGGTTTGGAAAATGGTGCACAAGTCATTTGAACTACTTTTATGAAGTTTGCATGGTGTTTTTGGAGCTTTACCTCTTATGGTCCGCATCCACTTTCACTGTGTGACGTAACGTTCTGCTAAACTTCTCCTTCAGTTTTCTATGGAAGAAAGAAAGTCATAGGGGTTTGCAACAACACAAGGTTGGGTTAATTATTTATTTTGATCAGTTTTGCAATAACTTCTCATTCCAGGTGAGCATCTCTACTGTAGGCTATGGTGACATGTATCCAGAGACCCTATTGGGGCGGATATTTGCCTTTGGCTGCATTTCCTTTGGGATCATTTTGAATGGCCTTCCAATCTCCCTACTCTTCAATAAATTCTCAGATTACTACGCCAAACTGAAGTCTCATGAATACACTTCCAACATGAAGAACAGAGGGAAGGTTAACTTCATCCTGAGAGCCAAGAAGAAACTAAAAGAATTTGGCTGCATCGAAACTTATGACACTGTTTCGTAAACACTAGTAAAATTGAGTTCCCAAAAACGTAAAAGGGAACATTTTCTAAAAAGCCTCTCATGTAAAAGTGCCAAAAGTAAACGATTAAACTGTACATACTTGCAGTCTGTTATTTCTCAGTTACCTGATCCTTGAGCATGATGAACACATCTTTGGTAATGAAGTTGTACTAAAGCAATAAAGTACATTTTAATGTTTGGACATTATGTTTTGTTTTTGTAACTCTGTACCACTGTAGTTCTGCTTTTTTTAAATTATGTTATGCTTTTCGCCTGGTTATAGAAGCACATTTAGACACACTGACCTGCATTATCCTCACAGTTGACGTTCTACTTTGCAAGTCCTGATTTTCCACAAACCTAACCCCATAAGTTATCCCTAAAATCAGAGGGAAATGATAGTGAATAACACTGATGTAGAAGCACCTAACCTTGTGAGCCTAAACTTGACATAAACTGTAAACTGGTTCCTCAAATCTGATTGGTTGATTGGAATGTTGTTCCAGGATCAATAAAGATGCTGATCCAGAACCATGTTAAACTTGGTGAAATAAGGTTCTGCTTCTAACCTTACCTGACTCGACCTGTCTGACAACCACAATAGAAGATTAATCTAATTTACAAATAGAGTTAATCTAATTTACAAAGTTTCCCTGATGTGTCCAATTAAATTAACACCGTATTTAGCCTCCAGAGACATAACAATTCCTTATTTGTTCTCAGCAATTTCTCGGAGACCATACAAGCCTTTGGGTTCAGTTAGGTCAAATTGTCACAAAACTTAAGAGTGACATATAGTGACTTAATACTTCTAAAATGGTCTCATCTGTTTTGGTATTGAGTTTACTAAGAATCTCTGGAAAAACATTTTGAGTTTTTTTTTTTTTTTTTGTGGTATAATTCCTGATATCTCTTTGAAAAATGAAAATGTTATTCCTGGTTATATACGCATTATGAGAGAGAAGATTTGGATGTTGTTCAATCTTAATTTGTTTTTGGCTAAATATTTTCTTCTAATAAGAAAGCTGTGAAAACAGTGAATCTTTATTTTTCTTGCTCCCTGGTATATAATATATTGCCATTCTGTATTTTTTGTTTTCTATAATAATAAACATAATGGAGTAGGATTTACTTGAAAAGGGCTAGGAAACAATTTTCACTTAACAGTAGGCTAGCTAATAGTACATTTCATAAAAGATTACAAAGAAACGGCAAGACAAGTAACATATTGAATTAAACGTGGAATTTTTAAGTACTGTAGAAACACTGAATTAGTAGGCCTACTCCAAAATTATTGTTTACAACTTAAAAAATAATGGTTTACACTGCAGTTACAAGGTGGCTAATGACAAAAAAAACCTCCCCAAGATGTGAGGAAGAAACCTTGGTTGGGAGGAACATCCTCTATCAATATACATTTTAGCAACACATATATTTATAGTATTATTATTAGTATATTAATAAAAAGAATGGCAAACCTCTTTCGGACTCGTCGACGACACCGCGGTTGCTCTCCAGTCCTGCAGGTGGCGGTATGACGTCAGCGAGCTCATAAGCCTAACTTCTTCTCGCTGTGCTCTTGCGCTTCTCTGACCTCTGCGTACTGAGCTGGTACTGAGTGCGGTCCTGAAGTTTGGCGAAATGGTTCCTCCAGTGCAAGTGTCGCCGCTGATTAAGGTTTGTCTTAACAAATCCATCATTCAAGATGTTTATTACTCGATTTAAACGAAGAATGGCGTCTACAGGACTATCTTTCCCTCATTCTGTCAGAGCGGGCTGTGATGTTTTGACGTCTTTTAAAATGGCCGTCACGATATTACCTTCCTTCTCTGTTAATAAAAACAAAATTACTGATACTAATGAGATTTATTTTGTCTTTCAGACAGCCAGATGGTCTGCATTGCTTGTTGGCATTCTCTATGGAAAGCGCAGATATGGTAAGAACAAGCAAGTTGATCTGAAACAGTCAGACAGGTGTTCAAATGGCATTCTGTGGACAGAAGGACCTTTAAACCATTCATAAAACATTAACCGTGTTTATATATATATATATATATATATATATATATATATAAAATATAAATACACATACATGCATACACTCCCTTTTAACAGATTGCTTGTGGAAGTCTAGAGTGCATGTTTCTGTAGGTCTGAACTACATATATTGGTTTAATTAATTAAAAAATATACAAGAATGAAAGTTTGTGGCCAAAATGGTGCTGATAGTTTAAAAATGTTCACACACTTGATAAAGTTACAAAAGCTTTTCTTTATCTCCAGATAATCTGAAACCAATCGCAGAGGAGGAGAGGAGAATAGAAGAGGAGGAGAAGAAGGTGCGAGAGGAGAAGGAACGCATTGCTAAACAAATAGCAGAAGGTAAGGTTTCACCTTGACAGTTTAATAGTTATTCTTCTGCAAATTCATCAAGTGAATATTGGAATTGCTTGCTCATTTGGTTATCCTGACTTCCTTTTTTTGTTTTGTATTCAACAGCTAGTGAGGACACAATCCTGAAATGAGCTGCCCAAAATGTCGGTTTTATCGTGTCATTGTAAAAATCTTGTTATCTGACTGGATAACTAATGATGCTTGTATTCTGCCATTTTGATTTTACAGTGCCCATTTCACACCTTTCAATGTTTTCTCTAATAGGTTATGCCAGACTAATACCTGTTTTTGTGAAATAATCACTGAGTACATGCAAATATGTGTATGACCTTGTATAAATTTTCTCTGATATGACACTGGTTTGTTCTTTAATTGAAGAATCTTTGATTGCAACATGATACAGATGTAGTACATACTATGTTAAATATACACTGAATCAGAGTTTCGCTTTGGTAAACATCCCCACCAATATTTATTAATAAACTGTTCACCCCTATTTCTTGGTTTAATTTTGATGTATAAAAATAATTGATATGTCTAGGTGGTTCAAAGTATGAACTGAGACAGCAGCATTTTAAATTAAACAGTCAATCTTATGAGAAATCCAGTAAATAAAACTTCAGATTATTAAAAAAATTAACCAATTCATTTTTATCCCAGATGGCATATGCCTGTGGACTGTCTTTTATGTATACTGAAAAAACAATTCTTGTTGTGGCGAGCCCTAATGTGATTGGCTGGCTTTATGCAACTTCAGTTAGTAGGGTGCACAGACTTGTATAAGTCTGCTGGTTAAATAGTTGTTTTCAAGTTGTGTGCTTTTTACAAACTTGTTATTGTATTTGCCAAAGCTAGGTTAGTGCGATCAAATATTTGATACTGAAGAGTTTCGTTTGAGGAACTTTATGTTGGTCAACCCAATGTCATCTTGTATTTATTAATGTTTGTTGGTTAAAATAAGTAAGTAAACTATAATGTATGTGGACAGTTATTTTAGTGTCATTGAGACACTTAGTATTTGTTCATATTTTGGGTAGTTCATCTAAAAATGTGAGTTTCGCTCACAAATGAAGATTGCTTTGGATTACTTAAATTATATCTTCTTTACTAACTTTCTGGGGCTTGAAAGTTGCATAGCTGTCAATGGAGAGACAGAAAGCTCTCAGATTTCATCAAAAAGATCTTAATTTTCTTTCTGAAGATGAATGAAAGACTTACGGGTTTGGAATGACATAAGGGTGAGAAATTATAACAATTTTCATTTTTGGGTGAACTATCCCTTTAACTATAATAACCCTGGTGGACAGTCAAAAGTCTGGCTGATCAAGACTACCGGTTCTCTGAATATTTCTCTGTGACAGAATATTCTCCATTTCTTCCCCAGTAATCCACGGCTCTCACTCTGTAGTAACCCCTGACCTCCAGACTCTCTGTGCAGGGAAAAACACAAGCAGGTCAATACTATATGGATCAGTGCTTGAACTCATACATTTTGATTTCAATTGAATTCATACCTGGAGAAAAAGTGAAGTATGTGAAAATAGTGTCTCTGTGATTAATCCTCTGGAAAGTGGTCTCATCTTTGGAAAATTCCACTTCGTATGTCTTTATACACCTACAAATGGCATGCAAATTACATTTATAGTTTGAATGAACTAGTTTGATGAACTGCTGTATTTAAACAGTTCTTACTTCGTGCCGATGCAGTGATCCTTCCAAATGATCAGAACTTGTCCTTTGGTGACGGTTATGAAACGCACCCCGTTCACCTGCAGAACGATAACTGCAATATTAAAACCAAACCACAAAGTTTCTAAATATCTGAAAATAATACCATGCACCTGGAATGCAGAAGTTTTGCAATCAAACTTAAATTAATTTCATGCACAGACAGACACAATTTTGGGGCATAGGTGAACAGCAGATGCTATAAATTCACTCCACATCATGACATTAAATGATATTAAACTCAAGGGCAGGTCTAAAGCCTGGAAAATGGTGGCTTACTAAGCTTCATGAGGTGCATCCTGGGATTCTTTTAAACAATATTAATGGAGTTCACATACATAAACATGAAATTAGTTTTGTAGACAAATATAAATTGGGTATTTCAGCATCAGCCTCCAGATCAAAATGTTTTTAAAATCATGAGAAATAAATTCAGTTAAGCGTGACTGGTAGTGTAACCTTTTGGTGTCAGATGCATTTAATGAGAGCTGTGATGTCAAGTGTCCACTGACCTGGTTGGGCTTTTCTTTAGACTGGGCACATATGTGTACAAGCAGCACTGAGGGGACAGGGAGGATTGTCTTCAGCGTCAGAGAGCCATCGGATGGGACCGGCAGAGGTCCATCAGTTTGTGGGTCCTACGACATACACATTCATTTAAAGACTCGCTTTTCTCACTCTTGGCTTGTGATTTTGATGTTTTATGTAGATATTTATATAAAATAAGCTGCAAAACCATAAAGGTTATGATAACCATAAAGGTTATGAAGTCGCAATCATACGCACATTAACACATGCCCAGCAACACTGAAAAAGTATTTTTCTAGGATGTACAGTAGTGGCCAAAAGTGATGTCCAGCCTAGGAAAATTTACATCTTCACTTTTTATTCAAATATTATAAAAAATGAGTTAAAGATTTTGTACGTGTAATTGTGCGTGAAGTCAATGAAACAAGTCAAATTGTACTGACATAACTTTTGGCCACGCAGTCATTCAAAGAAATTATGAACACTTGCAAAACCAAGAGAGAACCAACAAAATATTAATAACTGATTATGTTATAGTCAATGTATGCTTTTTCCTGTGAGCTATGTTTGTTTTTTGCTAATAAAACCTGTAGCTGTAGTTTGCCTTTTATTGCTCAATAACTTTGTCAGATAAATACCATAACCAACTTTAGTGTTTTGTTCTGCCATTTAAAATATTTAAAAGCATAAAATATTTTCCTGATATTTTGATGGTTTAATTGAACTTGTAGGGTCATTAAAAACAAATAGCCCGTCCGGAAATCACTTTTGGCCACTATAGTAAATAAAAAAGTTTATGGGAGTATATTTTACTGAAAATTACTATTTCAGTCTTTCTACTTCAAAATTTCACATTTAAGTCAATGTGTTACTTGCCGATTCTTTGTAATTATTTGTGAAATTTACTAGCAATTTTAAAGGGGTCATATAATGCCATTTTTGTACAAGTTAAAAAAAAGAGTGAAAATTGTTTCTACACCATTTCATTTTTTAGTGCATATAAAAAACACACAGAATTCTTAAAGGTACAGTAGCAAAAACTAAGAAACCAGTAACATTATAAGCAAACTTCATGGAAGTCATCAATAAAAATGTGTGTTATGAAGGAGTGTGCATGTGTGTGTGTTGAACCTCTTGGCTCCGCAGGGTTTTGAACTGCTGTTCATTGGGATAGTCAGGGCTGCCCATGCTCTCCCACAGTTTAAAGGGGTTTGTCACGTTATTATCCATGTAGTGTGTCACATACATCAGACCTACAAACACAGGCAGGATAGAACTATAAATACAAGCATATTCTGTATTTTTGTTATATACAATACACATAGTTTCAAAGCAGCTTTAAAAAAAATCTTAAAGGGGTCATGAACTGGCTTTTTAAAAATTTTTATATTGTTGTCTGAGGTCAACTTATGACGTTCGCTTGGTTTTTACGTTCAAAAACATCAAAATGAATAAGCAATAGGCTATTTTCTACCCTAGTTTTGAGCCTAGCTCAAAAACGCTCGGTTTTTATGGGCGTCTGGCATTGCAGACTTCGCCCACTGCTGTGAGTGGATAACATTTTTGCATATTATAATGAGTTTCGTGTAATGCGCGAATCGGTGGGCGGGGCTAAACCGGCCGTGTTGAAGTAGGCGTTGATCTTCTTCTGCGGGGGTTGGTGTTTTATCCTCTTTGTCGTCATAGTTCCCCACTTTGAAAAACGAGTCGTTTGCTGAGCCTGGTGTCAATAAAAGCTTTTATTGGACTAACAAGGACGTTTTCAGTTCTGAAACTTACAGGATATTCTTATAATTTGATGACCTCTTAGATGTCAAAAGCTCAAGGAAAATTTGATTTCTCAGTTCATCACCCCTTTAATGTTTATAATATCTTAAAGTCGCATTTAGCAGATGGGAGCTGTGCGATAATATAGTTTACATTTTTCAACGATATAAATGATCAAGTTGAGATTTGCTATATAGTATATGTCACCCTACACGAGTATACTGCAGTGGTTCCCAAACCTGTCCTCAAGGCACCCCAACACTGCAGGTTTTCTTTATCTCCCTAATCAAACACACCTGATTCAACTCATCAGCTCATTATCACATGGGTTAATGAGCTGATGAGTTGAATCAGGAGTGTTTGATTAGGGAGATAAAGAAAACCTGCAGTGTTGCCTTGAGAGGACATGTTTGGGAACCACTGGTATACTGTATGTATGCGGATAAAGTTGGACATACTTATATATACAAATTTAGATAAAGAGCTGGATGATAATATAGTTGACATTTTTCAAAGATATACAGAATCGAGCAGATATGATTCGCTATATAGTACATACAGTTTAACGTGAGTGTACTGTATGTATCCAGGTAAGGTTGGATATACTTATAATAGTTGTTTGTAATAATTAGTATTAATTATTAATTCATTCAAATGATTAATTCGTTATATGGTGATATTGAGTTATGAAACCTGTGAGGTTTGTCCAATTTGGTGTAGTGACAAGCCTAAGTTCTATTCAATTCTATATTCTTGAGCAAATAACAGAAATGATTTGTATTTTTATTGCATAGGGTGGTCTTTTGTGGTTACTGACCCACACGTTGAGGTATTCCAGCGAGACGCAGACTGATGATGTCAGCGGTGGAGGAGGTCTGGTTATCTCTGCTGTTATACAGCAGGACGGTGGTCTGCCAGCTATCGGCTGTGTACCGCACCTGAGGGACGTGAACGGTGGCCAACACACCCACTGAAGAATTCACAGTCAACACCTCAGCCTGCACCTGAGTCTCACCTGAGGAACAGTAAATGAATATGAGATTATCCCAAACTCTCATGAATGCCACTGTGTTTATCTGCACTGCAGGTTACTGTAATTCCATAGATGCAACAAATGCATAATCAACAAGTTCAACAATTCCAAACAATTATTATGTATACTATTATAACTATTTGATATTCAGTAGTAGTGGGCGATATAAGCATTTTGTGGCGAGCAGGACGAGGCCGAGGGCCACGGTGAAGGACGAGAGAGGCCAGGCCTGGATTTTATTTGATGTTTAGAACTTCTTTAGCTAATTATACAGTTTGACATAATTGTGCACTGTTCGAATTCTGTGTACACCCTTTATGGACCGGGTCAAATTGACCCTAATTGGATTCAATACAATTCCTCAAAAATCACACTATGAAAAACAACAAAGATTTAGATACAAACTGTAAACTTTTAATATCAACATTTGTCAAACATTACAAAAACATTATATCTGAAAATATGATTTATAAAAAAAAAATTAAACAAATTTTTGACAAAATTGGAAAATAAACAGTATACCGGTACTTGTTTTTTTTTGCATATAATTTCTTTTTACTTTTTTTTTTTTTTTACATTTTATGCTTTGAACATCGTAACTGAGCAATACAATTTTGCTGTATAATGAAATTTTTTAATTTTCCTAAGTTAACTTTCCCTAGTTTCCTAAGACCTAGTTCCCTAGTTTCATTATTCACTCACAGGGAAGTGAGAAACCAAACATAACAAAAACATACATCAAATAAATGTTTTTTATTAATTTTTTGGCTCTGTGAAGCTGCCTTTGAAAATCCTACATTAAAAGTTTTGGTTAAAAGCTAGGCATGTTAGATATCTTGAATATTGAAATGAGAGCTTATTTTACTATCTGTGTCTGACAAAGATTTTCATCTGTAATTTGCAAATAATTCTAAACACTGTGATTTTAGCTTTTTCAAGTGTGTTTGGTTGGGGTTAGATCACTTTTAGATACACTTGCACGTTAGAACTGGAGTTGAAGTGCCCTTACATACAGAAAATAAATGTTTTTATTTTGTGTCTGTACAGTTGCTTTTGAATGGCTGTCTATGAGGGTCAAATTGACCCGCGAACATCACGAACGTAATAGTAATTTTGTTTGTATATGTCAAAACACATCAGCATGTTGAAACTTTGCATGCATGTTCATCATGATAAATGAGAAAAAGTCACAAAATATCAAGAAAAAAAACAAAGGTTAACCAGTATTTCCAACAACTAGAAAAGCGAAACGGGTCAAATTGACCCGCAACATAACACAAGGGTTAACTGTTATATCACCCACTAACACTGATGATTCATTATAAATGTTCATTACCTAACAATGCCAACAGGCCCATCACAGTCAGGACAGGTTTCCGCAGAAACTGCACGTGTGGCGGGTTTGTGTTGTTGATCTGGAATCGAGCGGTGAGCGTGCGCTGGGTAAACGGGTGTGGGTGGTAACTAAGGAAAGCATTGTCGTTGCTAAGCAGCGTGTAGTTGACGGTACTGTTCTGGTCAGCGATGAGCAGGTTTTGATGCTGTGAGATGACCTACAACACCAGAGGCATGAAAGGAGACTGTGATACTGCACCAAATATACCTAGACTCACTGAACTAACAAGCTTTAACGAATCATATAAAAGAAAGCAAATCATTTAAGAAATTTAAAAAATAAAAACATTAGAAATAACAATATTTTGTGTCTTTAGGTTTGAGGTCAATAAGGTGGAAAAAGTTTAATTGTGATTTTTTTCTGAAAATAGTAATGATATATATATATATATATATATATATATATATATATATATATATTATCATTATTATTATGATAATCATAAAATAGTTATTAACAATTATTAGTTAGTTATCTCATGATTTCTGTTTTATTTTGATTAATTGTGCATACCTACTATTAGCTATTGGCCACTTAAAATTTTCATCTGTCTTGCTCCAACTTTCTGTTTTAATAGGAAATACACCAGCTGAGGAAAGACAATTTTATTTGTCAAACCATTTTAAGTAGTTTTTGCTATTAAGGAATGGGCTGAGGACAATATGATTGGCTGAATTCTGCTTCAGGACCAGGATGTTGAAAGGAATATGTCCTCATGTAAATCATCATGTCCTACTGATCACAGAAAAGCACAGTTGGTGAAATGAGAGATTAGAGCGAGAACAGAGAAACACAGCACTCTCGTGTACCTTAACCACCATGGCTGCATAGGTGACATCCGCTCTCCAGGTGAGCGGTTTGTTCCAGCCAACCAGCGGATCAGCCTCGTCATTGTAGATCGGTACAGAACCAAACTGAGGAAACCGCTGCTGGATCTCGCGTACAGTGGCCACTTCCTGCTGCAGGATGGGCAGCGAGCTTCCACCTCCCTGCAAAACAAAGAAATACATACTACAATAATCAAAAATCAATTACTCATTTGTCATTTATTTATCTTAAGCAACTTGCAGTATACTTATTACAGGAACAAGATCAAAGTCAACATGAAAAACTATCTCTACACATTTTACTTCGGTAATGTGATATTCAACAAGGACAAATTTAGGTCAGGACTTGATTTCACATGGTATATTTGCGTTTTATTATCACTTATTACACGGGTCTCTGAAATGCTTGATTCTGATTGGGCAGTCGTGACGTTAATTCCCTGATAATGACAGTTATCACCAGCAATCCTGTATAATTTCACATTTATGCATTTTGCAAATGCTTTTATTAAAAGAGACTTGCATTGTATTTCAAAGTACACATTTTTATCAGTTCTTGCATTTGAGGCTAGCACATCCACATCTTTCATGTCTCTCATATCCCCTCGTATCATGCAAACGCAGCTGGTGCCATCTTGTGTCTCAGTTATTAACTTGTTACAAGCCCAGTTTCTAAGAGAGAGGGAGAGAACTTCTGTCTCCAGGTCCTGGGACAGGTACAAAGCGCAGCGAAACCAGATTTTAAAGTAGAAAGATATAACAAATTTTATTTAAATAATCAGTGGGATACAAGGAAATAAGATTTCAGGAGGCGAAACGGCCAAAATAATAAACAAAAGACATTCTACCAATCATGGCCTCCTAATAATCCCCATCCACTGAATTGGCTCTGTGATGCGTGCATCTGGGTTCTGATCATGCTGTCAGAGTTTATTTTGCGGCTGGATGTACATTATCCCTTACTTATAAACTCTCATGTACCTTCTTGTGTAGTGCGATGTAGTCTAGCCGTACGCCGGTCTCTCCAGTAAAGTAGTTTGTGCCGTTGTAACAGTGCTGCAGCATCTCCCAGCAGTACAGCGAGCGGGGTGGAGAACGACAGGAGTCTCCCGGACCCCCGAACTTCAAGACTGGACTCGCTGCACGAAGGCCCTCAGAGCAGGCGTCGTAATAGTTTAGAAACCCTGGAGGAGTGGAGCAGGAGAAATTCACGGTCACCACAATGAGGCTGGTAGATTGCCCTCAGCAAAACCACTCAAATTAAAACTTGTCTGACACTTTCTTGTTTTGTCCACACCACAAAGGCGCATAATTTCTGTGCTCGAGAACAACATGTGGAGAAATACAACACATAAACTTAGACGGTGCTATATAAATCCAGAGACGATTTACATTGCAGCATTTGTTGTCACTTTATTTGATGAACAGATTGAATTTAGGCTTTTTATTCACATATAAACATTGATCGGTGAACATAAACAGAAGCTCAACCAAATCTGCTCGACGTACGAGAACAAACTGAAGCTCAAACATGATGCGTATCACGAGAATGAACCTCATTGGTTCTCACACGTCAATCGAACATGCTTGAGCTTCCGTTTACCACAACTGATGTGTGAGTTGATCAATGTTTAGATGTGAATAAAAGCCTAAATTCAATCTGTTCATCATATAAAGTGATCGAGTCTCTTCAGAAAATTTGGACTAAACCGCTCAATTCATTTGGATTGGTTTTACGATCTCTTTTTGAACTTTTTGAAGTACCAAAGTGGTAGTTGTGTAGCTGTCAATGGAGAGACAGAAATCTCTCAGATTTCATGAAAAAGGTCTTTATTTGTGCTCAAAAGATGAACGAAAGTCTTACGGGTTTGGAACGACATGAGGGTGAGTAAATGATGACATAATTTTCATTTTTGGGTGAACTATCCCTCTAAGGGTGCTCATATACAAATTTCCTCAAAATACAGACATAAAAAGTAGACACTGGTTCAGTTTGGTGCAAATCACATATGTCTATTTAAACATTTCCCCTCTACATGGTACAATAAAATTGTTGACTTCCAGATCTTCCAAAAAATATAGCTGCAATTACAGGGCCTGAGGTTATATTCCCGCAAGACAATCCCAATGGATCTCAAGACAATTTTAAAAGTTGGGCAACTTGGGACTATTATTAACTTGCAGCAATCATTGCGGGATGTTCAAACAACAGAGCAAGATATGCAATGCAACGTCCATGACTGTCAGAAGACTAATCAAGATAAATGCTGCTTAAAATACAAGGGGAAAAAATCTATGAATCTAGATTTTAAGAATCTACGAACATTTTGTTTCTAGTCCATTTGGATTAAAACTTATAAGCAGAAATGACAGTGTTTTGGCTCAGACACCAAAACATATATATTAGACTGTACCTTGGATTGACACAGTGATGTTGTCAAAGTCGTGGTTGTTCGGCTCATTCCACGTCTCGAAGTTCCACTGAGAGACAAATCTGAGGCCATATTTCCCTGCACACATATAAAACAGCAGGAACAAACATAGCTTTGTGGTAAGAGATCTGGGCTAGAAAACAAAAGGTTCAAACTGCACAACAAGTGCTTCATCCATCATCACTATCTAATACATTACAACTTCACTCTCATACTCACCTATGTATCTTTTGGCGATCAAATAGACCAAATTTCTCCATTCAGTAACTTGTCTTTTGTCTTCAAAGTTGCTGAAGGTGTTGGACACACTGCCCATCAGTTCAAACCCTTTAAAAAGAAGCAATCCTCTTTGACACAATGCAAAGTTTTTAAATGAACCCTATCGGCAGAAGCCTAATCCTACATTAGGCAGGCACAGATTTCACTGTGATATTCCGAATTTTAAAAACAATGTTTGAAATCTTAGTCCTACTTCGTCAAGAAATAATGCAGAACTTAGACCAGGACAGTAAAGCCAGTAGAAGATGAATATTTCCTGATCTGAGCTTGCTTGCCCCGTTTCACCATCTTGTGCTCTGTATGTGTCTGTTGCATTACATACCCGGCTGCAGTCCGTTCTGCCAGAGAAGGTCAATCAGCTGGTCTAAGTGAGTGAAGTTGTAGTGATATTCTCCACTGTTAACTCTACACAAACATCAGAGATAACAAATATTAGTACTACAGTAAACTAGTTTATTTGGAGATGCATGGAGAATATAAAAAAAGCATTTAAGTAAAGATTATTTGTCGATGCACAAACAGAAAAATAGATAGTATGTCAAAAGCAGATTCCAAGAGAGAAAAGAGATTATAAGAGAGATAAGTAGTTTTTATAGCATGTAGCATTTATGCATGTGATACAATGTACTTCATCCCCTGAAAACTAATGAAATATTGGTAACACTTTACAATAAGATTTAATTTGTTAACATTGATTATATTAGTTAACATTAACTAACAATGAACAATACTTCTACAGCATCTATTAATCTTAATCAAAGAGAATTTCAATATTTACTAATACGGTATTTTTTTTAGTTTAAATTTGTGTTTGCACTGTGAACAAACATGAAGAAACAATGCCCAGTTAAATTTTTACTACCTAATGTTAAAAAAAGATGCTTTAAGAATATATTGCTCATTTTAAGTTCATGTTAGCTAATGCATTAACAAACTTTAACAAATATTGTAGTGTTACCGAAATCTTTAACAAGCAATAGACATCTGCTCGATAAATGCTTGATAACGTAAATATTGCACCTTAAACATTAACTGTAAATCATTTGAATTTTATCTTAAACCTTTTAATTTAACTTTGACCCAGATGTTTTTAGACAAAAAAAAAAAAAAAGTTTAGATTTTTAATGAGAGAGAGAGATGCATATGCATATTATTATCAATCTTAATGTTTGCATATTTACATGCACAAACTAAGTATGTTATATATGAAAATATTTCACATTCACCAAACAGAGGACGAGGAAGTCTGACTCTGGGAATATGGAGTAACTGACCGTGCGGACACCAGCTCCAGCATCCAGTGTATCCGCACCTGCTGGATCCCTCTGTGTGGCACAGAGCCGATCAACGCCAGATTCATCTGCTGGTCTGGACTGAGATCGTACAGGAGTGCATCAGTGTGTGGCAGTGGAGGGCTGCAAAAACAGGACACAAAGGTGAATGTTGTGCTTATTCATATTTATTTACCCACTAAAAAAATTACATAGACAATGTTTTCCTGGAAATGCTGGGGTAGATGTCACTAACAAAAGAGTACAAAAACTATAATGGTATGATCACACTTTATTTATTCATTCATTCATTCTTTCTTTCTTTCATTTATTTGTTAAATAAGGTAACAGTTTGGACATGTATGTACCATAGTACTAGTACTACTGCTACTACTAGTTTACTACTAGTAGGAAGAGAATCAATCAAAACTAACTTTAGCTGGAAATATAATTATTCAAAAATCGCTATAAAGCCAAAACAATCTCTGTTACCGTAAATTTTATGTTTATCTCTGTAAAGCTGCTTTGAAACAATCTACATTGTTAAAAGCGCTATATAAATGAAGATGACTTGACTTGACTACTACTTTGTTTTGAGTATAATGTAAACACTGCGATGTATGAATGTGTAATCATGCAGTGCTATGGTTTCCCTTAAAGTGGCAGTATTATTAAGTAAAGTGGTTATATCAGTAATACCATGATAATTAATAACTATACCATGTATGGTATTTAAAATAATGGTAATTCATGGTATTTAAATGGCAAACCAATGTCCAAAGTAGTACCATGATACTCTTTTGCCGTAATATAATTTTATACTCGCTGTAAGTTACCATATTAGTAAAGTTTAGTGTTCAACATTACAGTTTTATCCTACCAGAATCCAGTGCTTCTCCAAAAGTGCTTCAAGTTTCGTAGCTGCTTGTCAACATTCACTTGAACCTCCACAGATGATGATATAACAGACTGCAGCTGTTTTATCATCAGGAATGATATAAACACTGTCCATGTGAACGAACTGTGTTCACATCTATGCATGCTGCTGACGTCACTTGTAAACATAAACTCACTTTACGTGTCTTTCACTTAACAACTTCATAGACATATTATCTTATGTTTAAAATTTCAGAAATCGTATTCGGTGACGTTAAAAAAATATTTTCCCCAACTTCTGTGCTCATAAGATGTACGAGTCTCCATCTGCTCTCTTCAGAAAAGTTGGTACACTGACGTCATTGACCTGCGACTTGTGTTTTTGTGTCGACAGTTGAATGTCGCTGCCTGCTGGTCTAAATGTGAAATGCCTTCAATGAATGAAGGGCAGTGAAAAATACCTTTTTAAAATCTACACTGCATTTTTATAAGCCTATATATAGTACAGTATAATATAGTGAAGTGACAATATAGTAGCCAAAACAATACACACTCAAGCTAAATGTTCAAATATCCTTGTGTCCTAATGTAAAACTCATTCAAGGTTGTTAAACAAATTTTTTACTTTATTTTATCAGTCTTTCTTTGCTTGTTTCTTTTTTAAAGCATCTAAAGCAGCGTGACTTTTAGGATAATTAAAAAAGATGTGGGTTGTTTTTATTATGATCAAGGGGTTTAAATTGGCAAATGTAACAGGCCAGGCTGACATATGTATATAGGCCTAGCACATTTATTACATTTATAGAATATATCTATATGCATAATATTTATATGCATAATACAGAAAGAAGAAATCATGTAAAAAAAAATCATATAAGACCATTTAAAAATGGATGAAAATAAAGGAACAAAAAAGAATCACAACATAAAAAGTTGCATTCAAAATAATTATAATAAGGGTAAAATAATGTTTTACAGATTCCAGCTAAAGCAGAATGTATAAGATAAGATCAAATATATATAAAAGTCCCATCCTTTAGTTTTAACTTCAACCAAATCTGAAGAAGTTTCATTGTCCCTTGAAATGTAAGTTTAATTAAAAAAAATTAAAATGCACAAGTATGTGATTATTATGTTCATCAATGGATTTTTTATTTATTTATAAGAATGTATATAAATATGGTTCTTATCCATGTTATTTTAGGCCAGACTTAAAATGTATCCATTTTTTTACAGTCTATGGTTTTATACTATGATCTGTGAAGCATATGTAATCCTATGTTTGCTAATGTATAAGTTGTTGTGAGATGTTGTAGGTAACTGTCACAAACCAACAGTGTTAGGCAAGTTACTTTTAAAAAGTAATTAGTTACAGTTACTTCTGCCAAAAAGTAACTAAATTAGATACTCAGTTACAAATTTTAAAAGTAACTAGTTACTTAAAAAAGTAACTATTGCGTTACTTTCAAGTAAAATTCAATTTTAAATGCTCAAATGTGACCCCACCTCTACCCCTCTTTAACGGAACTTACAATACATGTGCAGGTTCAATTATTTATGATAAATCTGAATATTATAATAAAATGGACACTTAATACAATACATTATTAACAGAAACATGAAACATTGTACACACATCTAAAAAAAAAAAAATGTTGCTGTGGGACAAAGTGAGACTAGCCTCCAATCAAATGCCATGTATGTAGATATTATGTTTATATAGTGGATCAATGCAAATAACACAATAGATGTTTTGGAACTTTTGATATTTATTGCCCCTCAACAGGCCACAACTGGGCAAAATTAAATTAAGCTTGTTAAGCTCGTCGCCATACCTGTCTCTCGTTGACTGACTGGCTTGTGTTGTTCATTGTGTGTCCTGTCCTGTCCGACTATGCGTTATGATGGGTCGTTCGCAATTCATGAGCGTTTTTAGCCGTTAGTGATGATGGATCGACTCGTTCGCGAATGAGCTTTTGATGGGTCGTTCGCGATTCTAAGAGTTAGTTACTCTAAGAGCCGGCTCTTTTAGGTGAACGTCGGGAGCTGGCTCGCATATCTGAAGAGCCGACTCTATTTTTACAAATTTAGCCTATAGAAATTAAATAATTATGTAATAAAAATTGAAATATTATAGTCAAAGTCATTTAAAGAGCCGTTTGTGAGCCAAAAGAGCCGGCTCTTTTCAGTGAGCTGAGTCAAAAGAGCCGAATGCCCATCACTACTATGCGTGCTTTCGAACACCCGCCCAACTCTACCTCTGATTGGCTTACAATGACATTTTACTCTACCTCAGCCAATCGTCAGCATTTATGCGCTTGTCTCGTGCTCTCCCCACTAACCAAGGAAGAACAGTAAAAAAAAGTATTTGCCTCTCGCGCAGAGATCTAGTTGGTCTGATGAAAAAAACAAAAAACAGCTTCATCAGTTATAGTAACGCGCCGCATTTTTTGGCAGTAACGGTAACGGCGTTATTAAGATGAGAAGAGTAATCAATTAGATTACACGTTACTGGAAAAAGTAATGACGTTAGTAACGGCGTTATTTATAACGCCGTTATTCCCATCACTGCAAACCAATGCGGTTAGGTTAGGGATTTCTTCAGAACTCAAATGATTTAATTAATTTCAAACCATCTAGAACCACAGATTTTTTTATTGGGTAAACGAGAGAAGGTTATCATATAAAAACAAGCAGAACTGGGTTATATATGAGGTATCGACAAAACAGCATATGTGAAAAATACGAAAAGTTAAGTGAAAATATTCGTATATTATAATACATTATTATTATTCACACACACACACACACACACACACACACATATATATATATATATAATCATATATGTATATATAATTATTATTATATATTATATTTTATTGATTATAAGAATTTAGTTGCGGAGTGGACCAAAAGTCTGTCTAGCAAGATAAAAAAAAAAAATATGGAGCGACCAATCTATGATTATAATGGCAAGCGGTTTACTTTGCAGGTCAGAATCAGCTATGACAACCCTAATCTTGGTTTTCAGTCTCCTGTCTGTCTGAGTCTGGCTGTTCCTGGGAGTTGAAAATAATCATAATGTAAATACGAAATAAACAATGCTAATTGTTGAAAGGATTATGTCTGTTGGAAATAGGTGGAGAAATCCAGGAGCAGGAAGACAAGACATTTGAGCTTTGAGGTAATCGGTTTCAGTTCTTGATTCAATCTTCAGTTCAGCGAACATTAAATAAGTTTTTAAACCCTTATTCAGAAAACATGTTTGCATGTGCCACAGCTACTGGAGTATTTCTGCATCAAGGATGTATTAAATTGATCAAAAGTGGCAGTGAGGACATTTATAATGTTTCAAAAGATTTCTTTTTAATAAATGTAATAAATACATTTAATAAATGCAAATAAATGAATGATCTCTGAAGGATCATGTGACACTGAAGACTGGAGTAATGATGCTTTGTCATCAGAGGAATGAATTACATTTTGACATGTATTAAAATAGAAAACCGCTATAATTATTAATAATTCATATTATAATTTGTATTAATATCTTACAATATTACTGTTTTTTTACGGTCATGGTTCATTATTTTTACTCCCCTTTGCAATTTCAGCTAGTAATGCTGAGGCTAAATATAATGAAGGCAATAACAGTTCATATGAACAAACAATTAAAAGCGAGTCATATGAACGAGTCCTGTTGATGAGATTTATTTAAAAGAAATGAACAGACTCAAAAAAAAAAAGTTCCATTAAAATACAACTCAAAAAGCATTGTTAAACAGTCAGTTTTACATGTTTTCTTTATACTACCTGTACATTAGACTTCACAATTGCAACTATTTTCAAATAACTTAAGTAACTTGTTTTTAAAAGTGCAAATTCATAATTCATACATGGGAATTCCATGGGTAAGACGTGGGTACATGGGAAAGTTCACATTTCCTTTGTGCAACGAGAGTGAGAAAGAATGAGTGAATGAGTGAGTGAGTGAGTGTAGAAACGCAGTGTGCTGACTATGACTTCTGCTCTGCTCCTGTGGAGGACTGAGGCGTGCTGTCCGGCTTTATTATCTGATAAGTGATGAGATACTCTGGATAGGCCTGGAAAACAACAACAACAAAACACATTAAGGGGCCATTCACACAGAACATGTTTTTTTTTTCATTTTTCATGTTTTTTCAATGTAAACGCAGTGCTCGAAGTGGGGCGGTACTCACCGGTACGCAGTACCAGCACATCTACATTTTACTCTTAAGCGTACCTGCACTTTTTCTTGCGTACCGCTACTTCTCGCATGTAGCCGGTACTCTACTGACAGAAAAAACTTGACGGCTGTTTAACCCCTTATTTACACTGCACACATCTGCGGCGCGTTACGGCTGCGAAACGGCTACCGCTGATCGCGGCCACCGCAAGCGTGAGCAGCGCGCATTTTTTTCGGCTTGCATGTTAATCAATGAGTGCATTCACACCGTGAGGAGGAGCGTCGCGTGAGCAGCAGTGAAGCGGGGGTTCGGCGTCGAGTCTATTTTTGTTGTGCTACTCACGCCCATTTGAAGTGAAAGCACACTTTTGATGGAGAAAATAAATATGATTTCACACAAAATGCACAGAATTTGCATGTCTAGTGTGTTTTAACAAGAACTGGCGTAGGCTACGTCAGAAAAGAAAAAGAAGACTCAAAAATATTTATACAAGATTTAGCCATTTAAACTTGTCTTAATTATTCAGTTTGGGTAAAACTATATGTTTTATAAATAAATAAAACGAGCAAACTAGTCAGAAAATAAGCTTTCTTTTAGTTTATGTAATAGCCTACACAGACAGGTACATGCCCAAATCAAACCCGAGTGTACTTTTTAAAAATGTTTGCTGTCTTGTAAACATATCGAAGTATGACTGAAAAGACAATATCAGAGCTGTTTTCTTGGTTGTTTTTGTTGTTTACCATTTACATGCAATTGTTGTATTATACCTCCCATCTTAACAAACTTCAAAAATCAAGTTTATTAATGACCAACTTCTAAAAAGAGAATGTTTCTTTGTAAAGAAATGCGCACACACACGACTTGTTTAACTACATTTATGTTGTTAATAAATAACATTAAATTGTTGTTGTACCAGCAATATTTCCAAGTTTTGTTTTTCACTGTAGAAATGTCAAATGTCATGATTTGCCAATGAAAGAGAGTACCGGCACCTTTCCCCCCCCACTTCAAGCACTGTGTAAACGTGCTAGGCGGACTCGTTTTTAACCATTGCGCTTGCATCTTTTGTGGCGTCTTACGCAAGACACGTCATTCTAAAAACAGAGCTCAAGTTAAAAATGCGACCTAGACCTAGCCTGG